CTTATGAGGAAAAGGAATTGATTTTCAGGTAAATATTAAAGTGCTTTATATCTCGATTGTAGTTTTGGTGTCAGGCTTTGGGTCCCTTTGCATGGATTTTAGGGTTCTAGAACATAAAGTTGATACTTGGTATGCTTACTTCGTGATGGAGTGGCTTGGTTTTCCTTGCTTTTTAACGTTCTTCATTTTTTAGGAACACTAGAAGATAGGCAAATCTGAAGGTCCTGCTTTGTGCTTTCACAAATGTTTTTAAAATGTGTGGACATTTATTTAGACCACAAGGTCTATGTAGGTTCCTCTGATATTGATGAATCTACTGGTATATTTCTGCATTTATTGTGTTCTTTTTGCTTATTTGTCTATACATTTGATTGAAGATACAATTTTTTATGGCAACAAATCGATTTTACTTAATAAGTGAAAAACCAAAAAGGTCATAATTCCCTGTTGTTTTTGCTCCTGCATTAAGTGGAACTTATACATCTTGAACTTCTTGTTGGAATACTACTTATGAATTATGAATTTGAGCTTGGCTGTAAATTTTCAGGGGAAGCACACTCTTTGAAGGTTGAAAAGATCTTGTTTAAGGGGAAGTCTGATTACCAGGATGTCATGGTCTTCCAGGTTCAGCATGCTTCAGAAAATTTATAATTGTTTATACCCATTTTTGTGTTCCTTATTATATTAACAGTGCGATGTTTTTCTTTTTGTAGTCATCAACATATGGTAAAGTTCTCGTTTTGGATGGAGTAATTCAGCTCACCGAAAGGGATGAATGTGCCTACCAAGAGATGATCGTTCATCTTCCTCTTTCCTCTATTTCAAATCCAAAGAAGGTGTTATAAACTTCTAGCCATTTAGGAATGAGATTGTCTAAATTGCTCAGAATTTTTAATTCATTTTTCCTTTAGTTTTCTTTGACCTTATCTTAGAAGGTTGAGGCAATTGTTGGGGAGAATAGAAAGGATCATACTAGTAGAGTGGCATAAGATATCGAGAATACAACTGGAATTAAATTGTCTTGAGGGAATGAAATACTGGGCTATAACAAACAGAAACACTTGGAAATATCACTCTGGCTCTCCCTATGGTAAATTTTCAACTTTATCAGTCTAAAGTTCTGTTTTTCTTGCCATTCTGTTCTTTTCTAGGTTCTGGTTATTGGTGGAGGGGATGGTGGCGTCCTGCGGGAAGTGTCACGCTATTCTTCAGTTGAGAAGATAGACATTTGCGAAATTGACAAGATGGTAGTTGATGTGAGTGATACTTCGACTCTTTTTTCCCTCCCTAAAACAAATCTGAACTTTAATGGTTGCAGATTCCTATGTTAATTCCATCTGCACTTTTTCTATGTTGGGTGGGATTTTTACTTGAGTAAAATTAGTTCTTACTATGCTGGAGCTGGTCTTTTTCCCTTGGCATAAATTAATTATGATGTTATCATCTGATACTTGTAGTAATATGCGCAGAACGTCAATTTTGATTCTTCATTCTTTGCAGGTCTCCAAGCAGTATTTCCCTGAAGTAGCAGTAGGGTATGACGATCCACGTGTGACACTTCATATTGGCGATGGTATGGTTAGCCTTTTCGTTTAGTTTTTTTTTAACAGCCTGCTTACCATTTCCTGAGAATTCATCTCATGCTTGCTTACCTCTTAATGGTCTAGGTGTTGCATTCTTGAAGGAAGTTCCTGAAGGAACTTATGATGCAGTTATCGTGGACTCATCTGACCCTATAGGTGTGATAGAGCTTTAATGCCTTATAATTCTCTTGATCTTGTAGAGTAATTCAAATTGTTTCCTCAATAGAGACACTGCATTTGGTATATTTCAGGCCCTGCTCAAGAGCTTTTTGAGAAGCCCTTTTTTCAGTCGGTTGCTAGGGCTCTTTGTCCTGGAGGAGTTGTGTGTACTCAGGCAGAAAGTATATGGCTTCACATGCATCTCATTGAGGACATAGTTGCAAATTGCCGCCAAATATTCAGAGGCTCTGTCAACTATGCTTGGACTACAGTTCCCACATACCCAAGGTTTTTCCTTATATTATTTTCTATCTTTAGTGGTCTGCAAGGAACGCCTTATCTATAGGATGTTGATCACACTTACATCATAGGCTTATTTGTTGTGCTGAAAAATGGTCAACTGAAACTGCACTGGCTTCAACTATTATGCCGCTGCAGAAATCTCTCTTTTTCGCCCCCTCCCGTGTTCCCGTTTGAAGGGAAGTTGTTGGTTTTACTTGGGCGTGTCGTTTTTTTAGATGTGTCCTATATTGGGATGGGGAGAAAATTAGGGAGGAAAGGATACTAGGAGGGAAACTTCCAATAATAGAAAGGAAGGAATATTAGAAGGGAAAACTCCAAAAAACAGAAATTTTTTTAACTATTTTTGGAAGTTTTCTTTCCTAGCATTCCCGCCTTCTTATTTTCCTCCCACTTTTCCCTCCGTGCAGACATAGCCATAAGGTGCTGTCTGCGGAAGGATAGTGAGAGAATGGTTTCGAATGATGATGCTTTTACTGTTTCATTTCAGTGGGGTGATTGGTTTTATGCTTTGCTCAACTGAGGGACCTCCTGTTGATTTCAAGCATCCTGTGAATCCTATAGATCAAAATCCCAGTCAGAAGACAGACAGACCACTGAAGTTTTACAACTCCGAGGTGTGTTTTTTCTCCAATCATTTTCTCTCTTGAGCGCTTTTTCCCCTATATACTGGTGAAATACTGTTTCTTTGTTTATATCAACTTACACGAATCCTCGTATTTAATAACAGATTCATACAGCAGCTTTCTGTCTGCCATCTTTTGCCAAGAAGGTGATTGAACCGAAAGCAGAGTGAGAAGATTTTCGAGTGCTTGGAGGACCATTTGTGGCTGTTGTAGAAGGCCAGCTTTTAGTTTTGCATTCCATTTATGAACAATAAGTTAGAGCTTTTAATTTGTCATGAAGAGCGAGTCTTATATCACGAAAATTAGTTGTAGGCTACAATGGATGGATTTCAGATGTCATTTATAGTCTGGAATTTGATTTTAGTGTTAGAGATCAGTTTTAGATGCAAACACTTGCTTTTTGTCCGCTGTGAAATGCAATCTGCCTCTAATGCAAAATCACTTACTTACCTCATATAGCATCAAATCTTTTACTTATTTCGTATAACATAAAATTACTTAAAAGTTAAGTTAATTCGAACCACAGAGGATGAGTGGGAAGTCATCAATGATAAGAGAGTATTATGCACGCTCTTCTGTTGTGCATATTAGGATTCCTGAAGTCAAAACATATAATTCTTTCGTGCAACACGGGGGATGGAAACGCAGTTATACTACTAACCTTGTGTTGGAAAAGTTAGAGGGAAGGGGAGGCAAATTTTGTGACTGAAGTATCCTTATTGGCTTTGTTGTATTCCAAAATCACCCCTGCTTCCATTAAATGAAAAACCTCTTTTCTCTCGTCTTACTCCTGCTCCATTATGGTCCTTACCTCATTCAAACGTGGTTGAGTCACCTACCATCCTCTGATTCCATTTACTGTTGCGGGATTACGAATTTAAGGAGAATACCAAAAAATCTTAATGAACGTAAAAAATTATTACAGACTACTCTATTATTATTGGAATTTTTTGTCAATTATGTGCCTTTGCAACGATTCTCCCAAAAATTTATAGGATCTCAGGACGAATGAATTTACTGAGTTTCTGCGACAATCATGTTTGAATGTTATTTTCTTCTCAGTTTTAAATTAATATTTTCTCACGTTTCTAATTTTTGGCTTGGATATTCAACTCTTGTTTACGATTTCTCTCTCAATAAGCATTACAAAATCACTGGGATCATACGTTAAAAATATTACCAGATGGTGGAGAAGAGAAGGGAGAGTCGGCGGAGGGGAATAACTGAAAAACAAGAGGCGGCGAAACTAAACAACAGAAGACGGCGGAACTTCAGACGAGAGGACGAGGCGGTGGTGAAGAAACGATGTAACGACGACGGCGGCAGAAGAAAAGGAGCTGAAAACGATGATCTGTTGATGTGGCGGAGGTGAGAACAAGAGACGGTGGCAAAAGCGTTAGAAGACGCCGGAGAGTGCCAGAAGGGCCACAGAGAGAGAGGGAGACTCTTGCCTTCCTCACTCAACCCACTCGTGAAATTATTCTCACCAATCTTCCCCAATGTGTTTTCACTCATGAACAACGTTAATATCTTCACCTAATTCTCTCCTCGCTATTGTCATTCTGATCGCCCACTTCAACAAATTTGCATGCCAAACAAGCCAACTTAACAAAGATGTTTCATTCTCAAAGTTTAAGAAACGAGTTGCACTGCTCATACATCAAGCGAGAGAGCAAATTGTTACAGTTTTAAAAATGGTTTCAAGCTACTGCATTATTTCCACCTATCACTCGACCGAACCCCATCCGCTCTCTGATCATGAAGCACCAGTGATCCATTAACAGAGAGATCACGATCAAATTACATTAAATTAAATTAAAATATTAAAATTATAAAACTTTTATCCTTCAAATTTGCCCCATTGTTAATTACCAATTTAATCCTTAAGAATTAATCCTTCAAAACAAGCCCCTAAAGTTTTATGACCATGCACATTTTGTCCTTATGATTTGAAAACAAATAATCCTTCACACGTGCAACGATGACAACCTCTTCAATAATCACAAACACAAAAAAGGGTCCAATGCAACGAAATAAGAATATAAACTGCACTCCTCAAGCACAAAATGAATAGGAATAGTAATTTTTTCTAAAACTTAATTAATCGAAATTAAACTTCAAGAGTCAAATTAATGCCACTTCCGGCCATTGACTGATTTGAAAAAAATTAAGAATTACTAAATTATTTTAGATTATATATATTTATCATTTTTTCCAAACTAATGTACCTAAATTAATATATAATCAAGCAACTGAAAAACTTTCTTAGTCTCCCAAATTAGTTAAATCAAACAAACTTGATGGACTAAAAGGAGGCAAATAAGTACGGGTATCCATTTCAATTTGCTGCAATCATTTCAAGCAATAATCTGCTACAAGAGGATTAACAAATTTTGATTATTGAAATGTGTAGTCATCAATCAATTATCAACCAAAAAATCAATACACCAAACCGGTGTCTACTGTCAATGAATTTAAGTAAAACAAAGCCACAGGGGGGAGGAGGGCGGCTAGGAACCCGTCCCAAAATATGAATGGAAAAAATAAATGGACAGACGGAACCGAGCAAAAACAATCTCAACCAACCAACGCTGGCAATGACCTGTAGCAAATCCATTTTGCTTAGGCCTTAAAGGGCAGGAGAGCGCGTGACAAACTAGGGTGCAGATGAAGACGATTAGCATGTCCCAAAAATATTACAACCGCTGACAAGGGCAGATTCACTAAAGTCCATGAAGAACACACCATCTTAAGGCGAAGAATGAAAGACCCTAGGCACCAGCGTGTTACCAGAGCATCCTTCCTATCCAACCAATGAATTAGGCAAGTTCTTGCAAAACACTAGATCCTTCTCATCCTATGGATTATGCAAGTTTTTCGGCATCCTTGACACAGCCCATCCTTCTTATCCAATGGATTATGCAATTGCTTGCACATCCAATGCAGGATAACAACAGATGCCATGCCAAAGAAGAATAAAGACAACAGTGTCCCATAGACCAAGTTGAAGATCGCACTCACCTTCGAGAACCATGCAGACACGGCTAGTAGATCGTTCTAATGAATATGCAGATATTTGGAAGAAGCAGCCGACAATGAAACTACAGAGAAGCAACCAAGTAGGATTCTGGTTTTGTGAAGCGAACAGTAAATGCAGCGATTGACCAACAATGCACATTTGACTCAATGATGAAGATGCAGAGGTCACTATTTTATACCCTTCCACCTCTAAACTGCTCCAACTCATGCGGAAGGTGCCCGTAGAATCCTTTAATGAGGGGCCGGTAAAAAGGTTAACAAACAGCAGCTTCACTGCAGAAGACAAAAAATTCATGGGGCACAACCAAATTGTCGACTTCGCACTTTAAGTCTACTTGTATGCAGAAGGAACTAGATGAGATGATTGTGGCGCAGAGAAGCAGACAAAAAGATGGAGTGAGTGACGATTTGCCGACAATCACACCTCACAACAAAAGGAAAACAAGAACATCCTTTAGGATCCATAAATACCAATACATTATGGTGCCATATCATATAAATAGAATACTAAAACTAATAATAAGCAAATAACATAAGTTGCTGTATAAAGTTGGAAGAGACCTTTCAGTTTCAGCAAGTCGACGAGAGACAGAAGATGCTAAAGTGTCCCATGCATCCTTTTGGCGGCTATAACACCTTGCAGGTGCCATCGAAAACCAAATATCTAACACCGACCATTACCAGAATATCAACATAACTAACATGCATATTTTCCTCAAGCAGTCCTATGGTAATACAATACAGCAGAGGCCATTCCTGAAGGTCATCCAGCATTTGCTCCATTCATATTCCAACCTTAATCTCTGTAAAAACAGGTAATTACGTTTATATAAATGTAATCAACAGAAATGAAGTTAGATCAGTGACAGCAATTGCATTGAACACAGCGAAACCTACCCATTGGCATAAGGAGAGTCACGGCGAGAACGGCGGTATGGAGGGGACCTGCTGTAACTGCGTCCACGTCGAGGAGGTGTAATGCTGCGTCGCCTAGGAGATCTTCTTCCGTAAGGGCTATAACTCCTGACAAAATGAAACAAGTTCAATGCACCAATTTATGGCATCAAGTCTCAATAATCTTCAAAGAGACTACAGTTAGAGAAATAAAAAAGTATTAGCATCCTAAAGGATTACCACTTGATAAGTTACACTTTCACAAGATATGTGTAATGCACATAAGGAAATGTAGAGACTAAAATTCTATTTACACCCACTCCCAGAGGCTTAATTTGACCGACTGCACCTCAGGATTTGAATTCAGAATTCAACAGGACACTCCAAGGGGCTAACTTAGGTTCTATGTACTTCAGATTTGCATTCCCTTTCCAGACCCACTGTCCACACAGATTGATGATTTGGACTGAGGAGTTTATCATCAAGGCAAAGCCCCGGGGTGAAAAATATGTGAGAACCGAATGAAAGAAGATACCTAATTACGCTGTTGACCAAATGAAACAATAACAGTTTAATGCAAACAGAGACGGTGGTGGGCATGTACTATTAATAATTTGCAAAATAAAACAAAGTACCCCACACAAGAAAAACCCACCGCATAAATGCCAAGTAGACGCTGAAGAAACTTAAACTTGCAACGACCCATGCTAATATCAATTCATGCCATTTAATGCCTCCACATATTTTGATAGCAGTGAATCATGAAATGCTCAATAGAAAACATTTCCGTCCCCATGGCAATCTTCAGAGCAGCCTAAAACCTAAATTACAACTTATACTGTTTTCCCCTTATATATGCATCAAGCATCTTGATAAACAATGAATCCCTCCAAACTACAATTGAAAGGTAGACAAATTTATGCATGCAGAAGTACTGACATATAACATAACTCATTTGAAATGCATAATCCTTCAACTCGTACATCCAAACACTACAACCCACCTGCGACCATAACTTGGACTTCTGCGGCGCCGATATGGACTGGGGCTACGACGGCGCCCACTTCCTATGCCTCGTGAACCAACACGCAAGCGGCACTCCCTAGCAAAATGACCAGGCTCACCACACTCATAACATTTTAAGTCTTCACCTCCACGTCCGCGTCCGCCTCTTCCGCCACCACCTTTGGAATTATGAGAAAGCTCTACACGCCAGCCATTTTTTCCTGCATGTAATTCAATCAGTCATGTGAATCATGAATTAGGATTTTTTTTTTTTAATAAAAAAAATAGAGATAGAGCTGCAAGATGACCACATACAACGCTATAAATATGAACTTAACAAGAACAAGAACATATACTGACCATCCAGAGCATGAATTGCATCAAGCGCATCCCTCCTATCATCAAACTCAAGAAATGCATAACCTGGTGGCCTTCGAGCAACCCAGACGCTGCATTAAATATGTTTATCATAATCAAGCATTCAAAATGTAAGTCCTTTATCAAGCAATGTCCCAAGGGAATGCAAAAAGCCACAGTGGTTAGACATGCTGCCATAGATAATGTGAAGATTCTCCCCTCCCAATTTATGAAGCTAGATCATATAATATACCCTTGATGGTAGCAACACATACACCATACAAACTACTTTTATGATGCAACAGACCAAAATACATGGAAGAAGGAAACTTCTCCTCAAGAGATGATCCATAAAAGAGTTGCCAACAGCATTGAATATCAGTTACTGATGCGTTTTCGTTTACCATTAACATTCATGAACTTATCGAACACCAAGAGTTGAGATGGGCTAAAAGAGGCCACTATATATCATAATTCAGAGAAGGAGGGAAAAAAATTATTTTCGCCCCGGGCAGCCTGAAATTCGAGTCCCAATGACTCCTTTTTTTCTATATATGCAAAATAAAAAAAAAACCGTTGCAAATCCCAGACTCAAATTCCAAATGCAAAAGAAGGCGCAAGTTACCTGCACAAACACAAAGATGTCAAAACATATGATCGCGGAAGACAAGAAGAAAACAAATTAGGAAGAAAACTCAACTACGAGAAGTAGCGGAGGAAAATTAGGATATTGAATAAATTACCTCCGGAGAACGCCGTAGATACGAAATTCATCTTCAAGGTCCCTCTCAGTAACCCGAGGGTCCAGATTCCCAACATAAACCCGCGACATTGTCCGCAGCCTGTAAATAGATCATGAAGTATGAATCAAATCCCCAAATACCTCAAAAGGAAAAGACAAACATTCGCAACAGCACGTTCACAAGACTGTGATAGAAAAATACAAAATTCACAAAGAAAAATAGATAAAATTACTGCAATTTTACGGGTAAATTTCTGCGCCGACCACAAAATTATAGCCCTGACCTCGAGAGATCAAATCGAAGTAGATCACAAGAATTTCTCCTGGAAAGGGCAAAACCCTAGAGCACTTCAAGAAACTTCCAGGGAATGGATTCCTCTCCCCATTCGGCTGGTAAATATCTGTGTTGTGGGCTGTGGAATGTGATCTCGAACTCAAATCCAAATACGCCGGCCCACTCTGAAAAATATTATGTGGCTGCACTTTTTGTTTTTCACCAACACATGCAGCAAAAAGGGCTTGTATTGTTTACCTGGAAAAAATCCCCTGAAATCAGACCGATAAAATGTTACTGTATTTTCCAACCTGAGTGCCTCTCAAAACCATAGTTTGGTAGGTAAAACTATGATTTGGGTGAGATATCATCCAAATAGTATCAATTTTAGAGAAATAATCCGAAATCATGGTTTGAGCCAAAACCATAGTTTTGGAGCCCAAAACCATAGTTTCAAAAGAAATGAATCCATTCTGCTTTTGGCTCAAATTGGAGAGTATGATTATGCCTATTAGACCAGATCTCAACAATAATATGACTTTAATATCCTTTAATTATTTTTTATAAACATATTTAATCTTATATCCTATAAATATATATACACATTTTAATTATTTATTAATTATATTATCTTATGTGTTATTAATTATGTTGGTAAAAAATATATTATTAACAATTTTATTCCTTCAAATTAAAATATATCATAAAATCTATCTTTTATGTAATTATCATACTCCTCCAGTCCTTAATATGGGACCCAATTCTTGAGTTGGTTTTGGTCCTAAATATAAGACTTATTTCTTATATTTATCAATTTTCTCTAAATTACTCCTATGGATACTCCCTCAACCATAATCAAGTAGAAGAGAGAGGGGGTATTAAAAAAGATTATTATGGTGTTTTAGAAAAAATGTGTCACTTTTCTTATAATTAACTAACTTATCTAACTTCCTTAATCTAATCAAATTAGTGAAATGGCTCTTATATTAAGAACCGGAGGAGTATTAACTTATGCCTTTTTTACTAATTTATATGTATAAAAAAAAACTTCTGACAACAGCTATCCAAACATTCTTACTTCTCAAAATTACTTTTTCACAAAATTTATTCTCTAGAAACTATTATCCAAACTATGATTTGGTTTCATCCAAACATCCCCTTAAAATATCATAAAAGCTCTCTGTCTCTCTCTCTCTCTCATGTACCCAAAATAAAAAAAGTGAGACAACTAATTTAGAAAAATTAATTAACAAAATTAGATAAATCAGTTATTTGTAACAAGTAGGTGTTGAGTTCTTTAAATTACTCCTATTCAATTATTTATGTTTGAACTACACTAGGATAAAAATAACTTACAATTGATAGGGATATTTTTTTAGAACATACTCCTCTGATCTTTAATATAAGACCCAATTGTTGAGTTAGTTTTGGTTATAAATATAAGATCCATTTCTTATATTTATCAATTTTTTTCTAAATTACCCCTATGGATACTCCCTCAACCATAATCAAATAGAAGAAGAAGATGAGGTATTAAAAAAGATGATTATGGTATTTTAAGAAAAACATGTTACATTTCTTATAATTGACTAACTTACCTAACTTCCTTAATCTAATCAAACTAGTTAAATGGGTCTTATATTAAGGACCGGAGGAGTATTATAAATTTGAAAGACAGAGTTGATTAGAATATTATATTTAGAACTACTAATTAGCTTTTATATTTAAAGCTGGATGTAGCATGAAAAAACTTGTATGCCAAGAAGGCTTACGGCAACATGAATAGTAAATTAGTAAAAAGGAAAGGTCACGTTGTAACTTCAACCCAGCAGCGAGGATGGAGTAGAGCTGGTAATACAGGCTGGGCCCACCAGCCTGCCAAAAAAGGTAGGCTCGGGTTGGCAATATGCCAGCCCGCACCGTTTTGAGCCTGCTCCGCCGCGGCTAGCCCGCCGGTTGGCCCGCTTTTTTTTTTTATTTTAATTTTTCATATAATTCCTAATATAGTTAAAATATTTTGACCCTCAAATTTTACATGAACAATTAAGCATTGTTTCTTTCATATCATTGCATAAGTAATTAAACACTTTATATATTTGTGATTCCGTGTGTAGTTATACGAAGATCATCATCCATCTTTTATTTTTCATTTATTTGTTGTGTCACTATAAAAGCCTTTATAAAATTAAATAAACATGCGATACTTATACATTTATACATAAAATATCTACTTAATTAATTTGGATAAGAAAACTAAATTACTTTGAATAAAAAAACTAGTTAAATTAATTATTTATAAAAATATATTAGTTTTTAAAAATATATTCTTAAATTATAAATTAATCTTCACTTTATTTTATTATAACTTACTACTCAAATTCAAGATTCGAAACCTAATTTTAACATTTCAAATTAAGCTCAACCTATACTAATAATAATAGTTTTTATTTAAAAAAAAAAAAAGAATATGTCGATGGGCTTGGGTTGGCAAAATGCCAGCCCGTCAAGGTGCGGGCTGAAACTGCTTTGGACTCGCACCACCGCAGGCTGGCCCGTATCTGTACCGCCAGCCCGTATTACCACCTCTAGGATGGAGCAAAAATTTAGGAGCTAGATTGACCTCTCTCGTGGAAGCAAAAATCAAGAACTGGGCGGTGATGAACGTGATCAATCCGCCGCAGCCGCCATGCTCCGCGGTCACTGCGGGTGCCACAAGGGCAAATGGGTCATTGAATGGGAGTTCCATGTCCTACGTTTTTCATGGGGGAATAAGGAAGTCACTTCATACATTCCACATATGGAAGTGAATTTAGCCACACCAAGCGGCTAAAAATCAAACTTTTACTTTCACTTTCATACCCCTTAATCCCATGGCGACAGATCGGGCCAAGAGAGCATAGGATGATAGGAGGCTAATCAAACAGGTGCCGTTGGAGAAGGACTTTATAGTCTCGTTTAATACGAAGCATTAAAAATAAAGAATAGGGATTGAGATTGAAAATACAAAATTATATTAAAAGAATGTTTAGTATGAGTAATTATATGCTACTCGGGATTAAACAAACCCATATATTTAGAACTGGGGAATACTATAAAGGGAGGTGGTATTCTTCAATTCTATCTATATGAGATTGCCTAATCTTATATGATAAGAAACTACCCATGCTAAACATCCTCTTAATACATGTTTTCAACCCTAGCCTAATCCTTATCCCTCATTTTCAATATTCCATACCAAACGTGACCTATGAGTCCACTTCGGATAGGGTCTAAACATTCTAAACAGGTGATTGCATGACAAGACCTGCGATCTATAAAATTATGATGTTTGAGTTGGTGAAACAAAAAACGAAAAAACTAAGCCATAAGTAAAAATTAACTACTTATAATTTCTGGCTTTTAAAATATAAGAAGAGAGAAAGTTAAAAAATTTATTATTTTCTCTCATTCCTATTATAAACTTTAAATAACTAATTTACGGATAACGAAAAATTAGTTAAAACTAATAAATAGATTAAAACTATATCTTTATTTTTAAATATACCCTTATAATAAATGATAAAAAAAGATAAAAGAAAATAAATGACATCAGCATGAGCTTATAAATTCAAATTGAAATTAATAAAATAAATCATACCCCAAATTTAAAGCTTATAAATAATATAAAATTATCATATCATGTAAATTGATAATTTTTTATTCTTATTATTTAATAAAAATCATACTTATTTTGATAATTTTATAAACTAAAATTTTTTATTCAATCATAATCCAAATAATTTACTTTCACAAATTAACTTATTATAAAAATCAATCTAAATATAAATCATATTACCTAATCTAATTTTTATTTAATCTAATTTTTTTAAAAATCAAATTAAAATTAAGTTATTTTTCTAATCGCAGATTTAAAGGGCCCTGTATATAATGGCACGGCCGAGGGCTAGCACAGATATGGGTATGACAGAATTTGACAATCTAAAGTCAAAACAACGTGGAAAGGACACACCTTGCATAGTTGCATTTATCACAAGTACATGATTCCTAACTCGGAGATTGATGATTATTTTTCTCCCATTTTCCTAATATTTTTATCATTAAAAAAATTTCATTGGACAGCACGGCTTCCAAAATGAGGGTCGCATCTTTGTCTCATTCTCCATTCAACGATAATCGTTCATGGTTTTTACTGGCTGTTGGAATGCTTCGAGTGTCAACCCTGCCAACGGATCCAGCCGTAGATCATAGCCATAATATAGAATGGTAGAAGATTTCGCTGAAACAGTCAGCTTATCTCAAAGATGAGCGGAATCAGTTCGTAATCTGCTCGATCCTCTTGAAAGCTAACAGTTTATTAGCGGTTGATTTTTTAAATACAAATTGGAGTTTGTGTACTGGAAGAATGGAAGTTGATAGGATCGAAGAGAGCAGCGAGAGATTGCTGGGTAGTAACAGTAGTGGTGGGAGTGGTGGAAATAGGTGGGTCGATGGCAGTGAAGTATACTGGGAATCGCCTCCATGGTCAAACCGTAATGAGGATAGGGGTACAGAGGGATATGGTTCAATCAGAAGGAGGCTTGTGAAGAATCCCAAGAGAGTTGATTCATTCGATGTTGAAGCTATGGAAATTGCTGGTAGTTACAGCCACCGCTCCAAGGTAATTTTTCGATCACGCTATCCTTTCTTCCAAGCTCTGGCTCAGCATTCTGGAGATGCCCACTTATTCTGTATTTGTTTGTTGAGCTCCTTTCTTTGATATTTCACTTGAGAAATAATGAGATGTCCTTAATTCTTTACTCATTCGAATGAAATAGATAATAAGAGAACGAACTTACCTACAAAAGGCGCACTGGGATTTTAGAAGCCACCCGCGTTAATGAGATAAATAGAACGAAAGAGAAAAACCACGCGCCTCAAAGGGGAAAAAGAAAAAAGGAAAGGAATTTAGTGCTAGGACTTGAACCCAAAAACGTCAGGATATGTTAGGGAACACTTAAAAGATGTCACACAGGGTTAAATAATGAATATGCAGCGTATGCATATGAGACTCTTGCGTATTTGTAATTCCTTCAAGCCCATTTCAGTTATGTGTGTGGAATCAGAACATTGAAGATTTGTGAAGTAGCGTAGCT